CTACTACTAGGGAAGCACTCTACCACTGAGCCACGTCCCCAGCCCTTCTCATTGTAGTCTTAAATTTACATTTTCATGATGACTGATGTTGAACATTTTTTTTTTTAATGTGCTCCCTGGTAGTTCATATATTTTCTTTTTGTGATTCTGATACATAATGTTCAGAAACCATGTTCTGAGAAAACTTGCCTACAACATCCACATTTATTCCTGCCAGGACAAAGCACTTTACAGGATGATTTAAATGGAAAATCTTAAAGAGTTCCTCTCAATTTTGTAAAAAAACTTCAAAATACAGAAAAGTTTGGGGAAAAAACAAATTCCCACAGGCTCTCTACCCAGATCTAAATATTGTGAATGTTCTGCTGCCTGCTCTTTGTGTGACTGTGAATATAAAATTGAACCATTTGAAAATAAGTTGCAGACATCAAGACATGTCACCCCTACTTTAGCAAGCATCTCCTAACACTTCTTTGATGTAACTGCAATTCTACCATATTCTGTCCATTACCTGAGTCCTGCAGTTTTTCCATGACCTTTTAAAACAGACCCAATCAGAATTCAAGAACTGTTACTGGTTATCTCTTTGATCTCCTTTAACCCAGAATTTTGACTTTTTGGAGACCAGGCTGGTTGTCTTCACAGAATGACACATTCTGGATTTATTTCATTCCTTTGTAAATTGAAGTTTAGATTCAATATAAACATTTTTTTTGATAGGAATACTTTGCGGTATTTTTGATAGGAATTATGTGGTTCATGTGTCACTGCCAAAGAGACTTCAATGATCTCCAGTAACTTGTATCAAACTTTCTGGGGAAAATAATTCTTTTTTAGCAAGCTAAAAATTATTAACTCAATTTGGATAACTATAGGCTTTTCATTTGTCATTCTCAGCTTGAGAGAGAATGTAAAAGTAAAGTCAGACTCTAACAAAGGGTTTTAGACATGGGATAGTACATTCTGCTTCATTCATATTGGCCCTTTTCCCCATCTGGACATTTCTGATGCTCCCTTCTGGCCTCTCCCAGCTGGCCTTTCATTATCCTATACCTGGGGCTCAGAATCAAAAAGATATTAGTTATCATGACTTCTCATTAGCTCAGCTTTGTCCTTAGTAAAACCATCACACTTGTAAACAACAGACTACTGTTTCCTCTACTAACCAAAAGTTGTGCCAATCAAATGAAATCAACTAGATGAGGACACATTTGAAATGATGAAGTATTTCATCCACTCATTCCACATCTATTGAGCATCCATTGTTGTGTGGGTGTCCTGCCAGGCAGAGATGTAGAAAAAGGCTGCCTGAGGCTTCTAGGAAAGAAACCTTGCTGTGGATGGCGGTGGCACATGCAGCTTGATCACATGAGCCAACAGAAGTCCCTTGATTATTTTAAGCCTATATGGGTTAGATTTTCTGTTAGATAGCCAGGAGTGCACTGTATTTGGGACCCACGAATCAGTCTCCTCAAGAGAGAGCAAATTCTGGTGCTGGCGCCACCTCCTGGAGCTCTGTTAGTTCTGGTGCCTCATGTGTTGTTTATAATCTAAATCCTACTATGCTGGTAATTAGCTTGACTGATCCCCAAACACGCTTGCAATCCCCAAACCTCTAACACAGATATTTCTCTCTTAACTGGAGAAAACATAAGTGCACCTCAGAGATCAGAAACATCTCCTGGAAATCTCAGATTTCCCAAGACCCTGCCACCTATGATTCTTCTGGTAGACCACTATCCTTTCCCCATTCCCTGTGTTGGCCTCTGCCCACAAAACCTTGTTCGGTGGGGCATCTCCACTTTCCTAATTCCCAAAGTAGGAATTAATTCTGAAATAAGAACAGGCAAAGAAAATGAAAAATGTTGAAAAAGTGCTATTGTATATTGCCTTATCTATACCCAAGAAAACTTTACTGATCAAAAGTTGAAGTATAGGAGCTAGGGCTGTGGCTTGCCTAGAGAGCTTGCCTGTAGAGCACTTGCCTAGCACTTGTGAGGCACTGGATTCGATTCTCAGCACCGTATATAAATAAATGAATAAAATAAAGGCCCATCTGTCTAAAAAAATATTTTTAAAAAACTGAATTATGGGCTGGGGGCTGTAGCTCAGTGGTACAGTGCTCGCCTAGCATGTGTGAGGCACTGGGTTTGATCCTTAGCATCACATAAAAATACAAATAAAGGCATTCTGTCCATCTACAATTACAAAAAAAAAAAAAAAAGTTGAGGTATAATAAAATCATGGTGCACACTGCTTTTGCTTTTTCAGACCAAAAAAATAGATATTTTGGGGCTGGGGCTATAGCTCAATGGTAGAGTGCTTGCCTTGCATGCATGTGGCACTGGGTTCGATCCTCAGCACCACATAAAAATAAATAAAAAAATATTGTGTCCATCTACAACTAAAAAAATATTTTTAAAAATATACCATGTTTTTCAAAACATTTAAGTCAGGACAGCATGACTTAAATGGAGGAGGCTCCAGGCTGTGCCAGTCATTACCCTTGAGATGGGAGAATGGCCTAGGGTCAGGGGAGGCACTGAAACTCAGGGGAACAGGAGACTACCAGATGAAGGGACATGTTTCAATGGTTTACAACTAGTACAGTCATAACACAATGGAATGTCCAGTTGAGAGAATGTGTATTTTTTTTTTAACTGTGCTATATTTTCTTAGGCTTTCGACTAAAAAAAAAAAAAAAAAAAAAAACTTTAAACACTTCTTATTCTAGTAATTATCTTTAGTACTAATTTGAAAAAAACTTACATGTTATAGATGGCCCATTACCTAAAAACTACTTTGAAAGGAGAACTTACTGCAAGGCAAAAGTTATTTGTCTAATGCATGTTTGGCTTTGTGTAGCTCAATAGGCCAACCTTGAAAACTATTATTATTTTAAATACTTTACTTGGAGGGAGAAAGGAACTTGAAAAAGATGTTACCTTTGGTTAAAGGCTTGAGAAACGCAAAACAAACACCTCAGAAAAAAGCAAATCCACTTAACAATGGAAGCCTTTTGGTTTTATTCCAGTTGATGCTGTTGGCACAGATCAAAAGAGCTCTGTGGGAATATAACACAGCGGTGAAATGAAGGGACCCGCTGAAGGTAAAAACACTTGGCGTGTTTTTACTCCTATAGGATCAAAGGTTTTTGTCAAACAGGACTTCATTTAACTTTTCTATTTCAGCCACCAGCTACCACAGAAGTAGCAAATTGTGTGTGTAGGTGGGAGAGATACTGAGTTTAGGGTTCTTCTAATTCAGAGTGACTGGCCTGTCTCAAGGATGTTTACTTAAAATGTACAAAGCCGAAAAGGATTTTTTAAAGTGGATCATCTATATGAAGAACCGTGCAGTTGAAGTGATCCACAGTGGAGGTGTAACACTGGCGATCAACAGCTATTTGTTGTAGGGCCTGTACTACCCCCTCTCCCCAAATCACAAATATAGTAACAGCTGCTAATAGATACGTATTACTTCTCCAAGTATTTGATTCCAACTGTACAATTAGGATGCAAAACATTTTTAAAAGTATGATTTCAGAGTTCAATACCTAACCCCAGATATATCACCAACTATAACAGCTCAGGTCACAGACATATTTCCTTGCACTACCAGTTAATCCCTCTGATCTTACATTCACATCCAAGACACTAAATTCAAAGACATCATAAGAATTTAGGAGAATACCATAAGCCACTGGGAACAAAGCAGACACAAACCAGTTATTTGTCTAATGCATGCTTGGCTTTAGACAAGCAACCTAAAGTAGAAAGCGGGAAATGAGCCATGGACATAGATAGGCCTCTCAGGCTAAACTCTGTATAAAACAAACGTGTAAAACCTCAAGCATCACTTGGTAAACTGGGAACACTGATGTCCCCCCTTTTTTTTCCTTATTTTTTTTTAGATGTTGATAGACCTTTATTTTATCCATTTATTTATATAATAATATAAATAAGCAGTGCTGAGAATCAAACCCAGTGCCTCACACATGCTAGGCAAGCGCTCTACCACTGAGCCAACCACAGCCCCATCGACGTCCCTTTTTGACATAAAAATATTATTATTACTTAGAATGGCATTAGTTTCCTGTTCTCTCATATTCACAGAGGCCCATATTCCTGTCATGTCAAATGTAACAAGCTTTACACAGAAACAGCTCTTGAAAGGTTATCTTAATTATATTCACAGACACTAATTTTAGTTAATGTATTTTTTTCCCTTATACTTTGTCTTAAAAGTCATTTCTTGCCTTTTTTTTTTTAAACTTTATTTTTTATGTGGTGCTGAGGATCAAACCCAGTGCCTCCTCATATGTGCTAGGCAAGTGCTCTACCACTGAGCCACAACCCCAGCTCCCGTGTTCCTCACACTTTCTAGAATTACAAGTGATACCTGCCAACTATGTTTAAGTCACTAGTGGGTATACTGTCCTTTGGCAGTGCTGGAGACCAAACCCAGGGCCTCACACAAGGCAAGCACTCTCCCACCGAGCTACATCCCTACCTCTTTAAAATATATATATTATTTTGAGACAAGGTCTAACTAAATTGCCCATGCTGCCTCAAACTTGGAATGGTCCTGCCTTAGTCTCTTGAGGAGCTGGGTTTAAGGCATGCACCACCACACCTGGTGGTATATAGCTCTTTAATGCAGAAACTGATGGTTTCATTATGTTGGTTACATACTGGTTTTATTCAGGTTTGTTGAATAAGAAAAACAAGAAAACAAGAAATCCCCCATTATTTCTGCAGGTCCAGTCCTTCTCTACAGCAGCTGTTACAAACAGCCCTGAAGTAGTGGAGTACAGTCAGCAAGGGTGTAGGCAGAGCTGTTCACAGTTCCTCTGTAATCTTTGCAAATACATATTCACTTCCTTTGGTGCCTTGCACAGTAAGGCCCTGTTAACCATGTGACAGAATAGAGGAAATACCCACAGGAAATAGTTCTAGTGACAATTTACTAGACAAGTTACAGTTTAATGATGGTGGTGGTGATTGTTTCTTTCATTTTATTATTAATATTTTTTACAATAAGGGTGTAGCCTTTATACTCCACACACACACAAAATAAAACAAGTGCTTATTACGAAAGAGTCCCTGCCCCCACCCCCCTCAGAACATCCTGAACATAGCAATTTGATGGAACAGAAAAATCAAGACAAGTCTGATTTCAAAACTTCAATAAAAAAGCAAAAGTATGTAATGCAACAGCTGTTCAACTTCCAACTCTAAATAGGCACCATCCAACAAACCCCAGTATTTTAATTTCTCCAGCACACATTCCAGTATAAATGCTCTGAACTGTAATTAGCTAGTAATTAATGGGAGTAGAACCTTAGAACAGAAGTTATATTGCTTCCCTGACCCTTTCTCTTACAGTTGGAGGGTACAGGTATTAAGGGATACAAAAGTCAGAGACAGAAGAATTAAAAAGAAAAATTCCCAAAGCTGCTGCTTGGAGTAGAAAGGAAGACAGCGTCTTACAAATGTTCAAAAAATCCCAAGGCAAGTAACACAATTCATTCACTATCACTCCTACTTGAAAGAATAAAGAGATCAATGTCGTATTATAAAAAACTGCACTCTCAGAACTGTATTACAGGTTCACCAGAAACTATGGATGTAGTTTTAGGCTTTCTCAAGGAAAACAGGTTCAGTTCAGATCAAGTTAGATACTGTACATCTAGCCTGGCTGGATCAGTGTCTGGAACTGCTCACTGTCACCCTGAACAGCTGTAAACTAAACAATAGTGTGTAACTCCGTAGGAAGCTTAAGGATTGAAGATATATACACAGCTAATTAGATCTCCCCTGCTTCGCGCTCTTCAGAGCTCCTCCTGTCTTCTGATCTGCCATTAGCACTCTCATAGGACCGCTTCTTATCTTTTCGATCTCGGTCACGAGGTGATCTGTCTCTTGAACTCCTGTCTCTGTCACGTGATGCTAAGTCTTGGTCTCTGAATCTTTCTTTTGAGGATCTGAAAAATATTAATTTGAGGAGCAAAATATGTTGGGAAACCCAAAATCCAAATTAAAGAATAGGATAAATAGAAAGCTGAAGAAATATATTAGAATATATCCAAGACAGAGGAGTCAGTTTACTGACAGAAAAGAGCACTATTAGGGTCATTGATAAGGGCTCTAAAACAAGACAGGTAGCAACAAAAGCTAGGGTCAAAAAGCATAAGCTAAAATGTCAAGATATTCTCAGTATCCTGGAGACAACCATAAAACATCTCCAATTCATAAAAAGTATTTAATATAAAAATAATACATTGATAATAGCTTTAAAAAGTAAAAGGTATTACCAAATTTTTAAAAAATATATAAGAACATGATTCCAAACTGGATGGAAATCAGTAACTTGGTATGGGGTCAGCAAATCTTTTGTTTGTTTATCTGGCCAGACAGTAAATATCTGAGGTGTTGCAGGTGACACACAGTATTTATGGTAGTAGAATTCTTTTCTTTACATCTACCTTTAAAGAATGTAAAACCATCCATAGCTTGCTGGCTATACAAAAACAGGATATAGACCTTGTGTGGCCTGTAGGGAACAGTCTGCCAACACAGACAAAAGAACTACTCAATAATATGGCTTGTAAATAACCATTTTGTTAACTTAAAAATCTGCTTTATTCCTCCTGAGTTAGATCATTAAAACCAGAATGGAAGACAAAAAAAAGATGATCGCACTATAATAAAGTTTCTTATTACCTTCTGCTTTCCCATCCCCATCCTCAGTAAGAAAGATACGTCACAAATAAGTTCATATCAGAGATTTAGAAGGAAAACGAAAGAATATTATGGGATTAGAATAGTCTTCTATACTCTCAACATCTAAATTAATCAGTAACAAATATTACTTATTTGGTTCTTTACAGGTGATGCAGAACTTTTACATAATTACCTCACCTAATCCATGTTCAAAATTAGGTTCTGGAGGCACGGCAAGACCTGGATAATACTTTTCTCATGTGCTGGCATTTGAATCCAGGCCCTTGAGTATACTTAGCATGTGTCTGCCAAGCTAAACCCCCAGCCCTGAGTAAGGAGACTTCCAGGAAGACATAAGGCAGGGAAAAAAAATACTATTATACTCCATTTTATATATACAGTTAAGAAGGATTAAACTAAAAGGTTCAAATATTCTATCATATCAACATTGAACATTTTACATAAGGTTTTAGTAAGCTTAATTTCAAAATGATGTGTTAAAAAAAATTAGAGTGCAAGAATAGTGACTGCAAATTTAAACTAGTCTTATCCATAGCCTTTATGGGAATGAAATATGAAGAGAGATGATAGAAATGATACCTAAGAATAAAGACATTACCTACTGGTAAATCCCAGAGGTCAGTGATAATAACTGAAGGTGAGCATCAACTAACACTTTCTGAGAAATCACAATGTCCCACACAGGAGCAATTTCCATACACTACTTTATTCATACTACCAATAATCCTAATAAAGCAAATAAATATGTACTATCTCTACTTAAGAAATGGGGAAAGACAGAAGGGATAATGAAGATATTGGGCAAAGCGCCAGACCCGAGTCTGTCTCTGAAGTCTGCACTATTCATTTCTACACAGAGCAAGAGCAGAAAGCTACAAATAGTCCTCACTGACCCACGGGAAATGTTGCCAGGGAAAGATCACAAAGACAATCTACATATATCAGAGACCAGTGCTTCACAGCTTCACAGCAGGGCAAGGAAAGAGCACAACGTCAGACTTTGAAAGGGAACTTTAACCTTCAAAAATTAAATCCACACTGGTAGCAATAACTTGATGTTGTGTGTAATAACAAGTAAGTTTTAAGGGCAATTATTTGCTAATTTTTGGTTTAAAACAATAACTTTTAAAGAGTAACTTGAATTCAAAGATGAGAAGTTCTCGAGAAAAGCAAAACTTTTAATAGTTTTACAAAAATAAGCCTCTTTATGAACATGCTGAAAATCTTAGATGTGAAGGGGTATCATGTAGTATGGGGAAAATTTCCTATACAACTTCACAAATGCAGGAAGCATCAGGGACTAAGATGACACAATCTCAGAGAAGGAGACTTCACACCCAGCCCTCCCATCTCCACCACCAATAAGGACATTTAAGAGTTCACAAACACCAGAAACAATGACAGTTGAGCAGGTCAACACAAGAAATTATCTAGATCTTCAACTGCCTAGCTGCATGATTCTCAAAATTTCTGTGTGCAGGTTAAGACTCATGGAGAATTTTTTTTAAAGGCCTATTTCTAGACACTGCACTGACGGTGGCCTCCAAGATATCCAGTTTCAAAAGTGTATGAGAAGTGGCCTTATTATAAGTAACTTTCCTACCTGATTAAATTACATCTACTTTATTCAAGTTTGATTACCTGAAGCTGTTTTTTTATTACTTTGGCATTTTCCTCATCTAAACTTAGATGGCTCACCCTATAATATCAAGGTTAGCACTATCTGTGGTCAAGGATGGCAGTCCTGTGTTGTCATACAGAGAATTTCTTAGAGCAACTTAAACATGGTTGCTCAACTATGTTATATTATTTTTTTACTAAGCATAATGTAGTAGAAAGTATATAATAATTCTTAATAAAGTCACCTTAAGGATTACTTAGAACAAGGTCAGAAATATTATAATTATAAAAATATTGATTGAGAGCCTATTAATCACTCAAGCTTGTAAATGATTTCAAGGAATGGGTAGCTGAGACTCAAAATAAAGGAAATATTTTTAACAGCTTTCCATGGATTCAGTATGGATTTAATGAAAAGGACTCCATAGAAAATGTGAGATTAGTAAGTATACTAGAAACACAAAAAATATTTATCCTCTATATACTTAAGAATGGTTATTAAGGAAGGAGAAAAGTTCAAAAAAAAAAAAAAAAGAGCAATTTTCAGTATGGTTTATATTCCATACAAATTACCTGGGTTGAGGGCTACCATGTGACCTGAGGTTTTGAGAGTTTAGTCTATATAGATTGTGAGTGCTAAACTCCTCTACCACATTCTAAGCCAAATATTCAGGTTCTCACTAAATATTCAGGTCCTTAAACATACCTTAAATATGCCTACCCTCCTTGCACCTTTTTAAGTAGTTTTTGTTATACCAAGAAGTTGTGTAGCTTCCTTAAAATTCTGAATTTGCCCTGCACCAAGCAACAGTGTATACAACAATGCATTACCTATACTTCAGATTAAACAAGAATATACTAGAATGTGTCTGCTCTGAAAAAGCGCACCAGCTCAAATAAGTTTGGAAAATAGTAAGTCAAACAAAGCTAAACAACTCTTTTAATGAAAGGACTTCTCAGAGTCCCTAATTTGTTAATACATACTGAAAAAACTGAAGAGTATTAGTATCTAAAAATTATTTGCCTGTAAAATACGTTTTTTCAAGACATACTAAGCAGAGAAAAGCAGTAACCTCTGCACATATCAGTTTCAATTTCTTCCTCTGGCTCATATGTAATTTATTCTTTCTGAACTACCCATATAATCAGGAAAAAAATGTATACACCCACACACAAATGTGTACATATCACCAGGTGCAAGTTTTCAAACCAATAATCTAAACTCTAAACATAAGTAACATAAGTAAACAAAAGGCTAAACCATCAAGGTAGCTCCATATCCTCTGATTGGCACATCAGTACCTCCTCTTGGATCGCTCTCTGCTCCTATCTCTAGAACTGTGACGACTTCTCTGGTGACTACGGCTTCGGCTGCGGCTGCTGGAGCGGGATCTGTGGCGATGGCGTTTCTCCCGAGACTTGGATCGAGTCCTCCTCTTGCGTTCTCGAGACATAGAGCGAGACCGGTGTCTGCGATGCTCTCTGGACCTGGATCTACAAAAAGACAAGATTTTATTTCATTTTATTATAATGTTGTAAGCAATACATTTATTATTTACTAATGCCTATTCTTTAAAGAGAAATTATTCCTTAGTAGCCTGTCTTACTGCCAATTTTATTCCAAATCAACTCAATTTATACTAAAATAAATTGCTATATGTTAACACCTGCAAACAAGAAAATACCAATTCTGAGAGGTCAATCAGTATTGTGTAAATTTACTTCAGGAATATAACAAATGAGAGCAACAATCTTCACAACTACTACATGCTAGGAATTATAATGTCTAAATGCTTTAGGGACTTAATTGCATTTAGACTAAGAATTTTTGAAATATGTTAGAAATTAAATTATGTACCTGATGGACATGGACAGAAGGAAGGAGAAGCATGGAAAAGAATACTATTCGGGATAAATTATCCTCTCTGAATTGAAAAGGCTATATGACCACAGATGTAAGTTTTAAATACCCACAGTATAATAGATCACAGTGTAATTAAAACAGCGAGGTAGTTCTCTATTCAAGTAGCACATAACTGGAGAGGAAAAAAAAAAAACAACATGCAAAAAATCACTTTTGAGAACTTTACCTAAACTGGGGTGGGGGAGGATGTTACTAATAAGTATATAAGAGTAGAGACAGAAAAACACTTCTGTATTTTCAACCAGATCACTTGCGTGGAAGGGTAGAGGTGACATACAGAGAACAGAAATATTTGAGGGAAACAAAGAGGAGAGAAAGGTGTACTGTTTGATTTAAAAAGTTGCTTTCAGGGGGCTGGGATTGTGGCTCAGTGGTAGAGTGCTTGCCTAGCACGTGCAAGACCCTGGGTTCCATCCTCAGCACCACATAAAAATAAATAAGTAAATACTGTGTCCAGTTACAACTAAAAAATAAATATTAAAAGAAAAACTTTTTAAAAAATTGCTTTCAGATGGCACAGTGGCGCATGCCTATAATCCCAGTGGTTTTGAAGGCTGAGACAGGAGGATACAGAAATCAAAGCCAGCCTCAGCAATGGCAAAGTGCTAAGCAACTTAGTGTTACCCTGTTTCTAAATAAAATACAAAATAGGAATAGGGATGTTGCTCAGGGGTTGAGTGCACTAGTTTAAAAAAAAAAAAATGCTTTCAGAGTGATGAAGTTGTTCTAAACTAGTATGTGGTGATAGTTGCATAGCTTTAAATTTATTAAAAATCACTGACATGCAAATTTAAAATAGGTAAATCTTATGGTATAGAATGTAAATGATAAAGTGGTTTAAATTTTTAAAGTGCCTTGAGAATGTGATATTTTCTCATAACTTGATATAGTACATTCAAAAACAAATTATTCAGATACAGTTTACACTAAGTTCATTTTCAAATGATTATTTTATATAAGAAATGAAGTTGAAAAGCTTTCAATTTCTGTCAATGTTATAGTCAAGGAAAGGTAAGTAATGTGGACCTAACATCACAGCCAAACAGAATATTTCCACAACTGAAGAGTGCATTTCCAAAAAGGAGCAGAGGAAAAGAAATGTAAAATTCACTAAATAAAAATTTTATCAAGTAACATTTTGTTTAAAAACTCATTTGGACCTATTATGAATCCTTTCTTCCAATGCATATTTTTATTCAACTTTAAAATAAGTACAAGCCAGGAACAGCAACACACACCTATAATCATAGCTATTAAGAAGGCTGAGACACGTGAATTCCAAGTTTGAGAACAGCCTGGCAATTTAAGTAGACCCTGTCTCAAAAAAAAAGTAAAAAGAGGGGCTGGGCGTGGTGGCATATGTCTGTAAATCCAGCAACTTGGGAGACTGAGGCAGGAGGCCCACAACTTTAATATCAGTCTCTGCATCTTGGGCCTTCAGCGATTTTAATAAAACCCTGTCTCAAAAAATAACAAGTTTGGGAATGTAGCTCAATGGTAAAGCACTCCTGGGATCAACCCCCAGAACCGAAAAAAAAAAAAAAGGAAGGAAAGAAGGGAGGGAGGGAGGTTAGGAGAGACAGATAGATGGGGGGAGAAGGAGCGAGGGAGAGAAGGGTCAAAAAGGTCTGAGGACACAGCTCAGCGGTAGAGCACCCTGGGGTTCAACAGGTATTGCAAAACACACACACACACACACACACACACACACACCCCACAAAAAAAAGAAAGAAAAAAAAACACGTCCTTGGCCTCTAAGAGCTTATACTCTTTAGTTCTATATAGACCTCTGTCTAGTATAAACAGAGTAGGGTAAAGGTGGGTAGAGAAATGGGGAAGTAATATTTTATAAAGAATATGCAGATGGACCTGGCCTCGGTGGGGCATGCCTGTAATCCCAGAGGCTCTGGAGGCTGAGACAGGAGGATCTTGAGTTCAAAGTCAGCCTTGGCAAAAGTGAGGTGCTAAGCAACTAAGTGAGACCCTATTTCTAAATAAAATACAAAACAGGTCTAAGGATGTGGCTCAGCGGTCAAGTGCCCCTGAATTTAATTCTGGGTACCAAAAAAAAAAAAAAAAAAAAAACAAGAATATGCAGATGGGCTGGGGTATTCTCACTGGCCTGGTATTTGAGAATCCCTGGGTTAGATCTCCAGAACCATTAAAAAAAAAAAAAATAGGGAGAGGCTTTTCTGATAGGATAGCATTTTAAGGAAGACTAAAAGAAGGGAATAAGTACATTAGTCATTTTAGAGAAGAGCATACAGATGCAACGGTCCTGAGGTGGCAGAAGCCTTGGCATACTGAAGGAACCAGAGGAACCTATTTTGCTGGAATTAACTAAGGTAGGGGTAACCTCAGGGTCTTACAAGCAGGATGACTTTACCATTCAAACCAGGACACTATGAATGATCGATTATATAGAATAAGGTGGGGGTTATTAATAAAATATCCAACAGAACTATCAGAGGGTACACTGGCATTTATGGTCCCCCTACTTAAAGACTGTAATAAAGACTTTGACTTCTATGAATGAGATGGAAAACCTTTAGATGATCTAATGCCATCTATTTACTTACCTACCTACCCGTCTACCAACCAATCAACCAACCAACCAAGCCCTCTACAGAGGGCTTCCTTCCCAGCCCTCAATTTGGCAGATTTCTATTTTTTCTTTATTTTGGGGGGTATCAGGGAGCCACATCCCCAGCACTATTTTCTATTTTATTTAGAGACAAGGTCTCACTGAGTTGTTTAGTGCCTCGCTTTTGCTGAGGCTGGCTTTGAACTTGCAATACTTCTGCCTCAAACTCCCAAGCAGCTGGGATTACAGGCATGCGTCACCGCACCCAGCAAATGGTTCCTTTATTAATGTCTTGAGTTTTTGTATAATTTTTGATTTGTTTGCTTTGGGTTTCCCCCTCAACCCCAATATATACTACGCCTAGTAATTTACCACACTGACTACCACACTTACCACATCCTTGGCCCCACCCATCCCTTTTTGAGACAAAAAAGGCTCAGCTGACCTTGAATTTGTGATCCTTACACCTCAGCCTACCAAGTAGCTGAGATTATAGAGGTACGGACAACTATGCCTGGATTGTTTTTAGGGTTTTAAGCAAAAATATCACTGAAAGATTCTAAAATATACTAAGGGGTAACTAATAGAAACATGAAGTTTTTATTTCGTAACAACAAATGTTCTACTTTTTAGGACTAAGTTCTTAGAAAAAAGTTACTTTCTGGAGTTTAAGACTTTGCAGGGTTCAAAAAGGTGATGTAATATGAATATAACCAGTGTAACTCAACATCATGTACAACCACAAGAATGGGAAGCTATACTCCATGTATGTATATGTCAAAATACACTCTATGGTCATGTACAACTAAAAAGAAGAAACAAAAATTGTTTTAAAAGGTAATGTAATCAGAGCAAGAGAAATGGTAGAATCTGGAAAAGAATGAAAAAGGGCATTCTAGGTGGGAATGGATTTATAAAGAAAGGCTCAAAACAAAATGAGCACAGCAAGAAAAGAACCAAGAAAGAAGAAGTAAAACACATTTCTCTACCTTTCTCAGAAAATGTTTCGATTAATTAGAAAAAGACTTTTTAAAAATACCCCAAATATTACCACTAAAAAAATCAAAGGAAGTATTATCTGTCCCTTCCCTCCTTATATCTGTTAGTGTGCCTCTGAAATATTTTTGTACTCACAATACAAAGGGAAGAATGGTAGACTCACAAAAGACAAAAATGAGGCACAGACTAAATAGCTTAGTTTCCCTTACCTACTGAGATCTCATTCAAAAATTTATCTAACTAATCAACGTATTTCTATTTTCCACAGGTACAACAACCTCTTAGAATGCTGTTCCTTAAATGTACCACACAAACTGACTTTTTAAAAGTTACCATATTTACTTAGCATGAAAAAGATTTTAAAGAAATATTTAAGAATATTTTGACATCTTTCCCTTGTAATTCCAGAGTACTGTATATAATTTTACTCTGATAAACTTTGTGATTCAAGAATATCTTTTGATCAGTTTCTCCTAAAATGATAATGTTCAAAACTGAACCAAAACAAAGAAACAGTAATAATTTATTAATTCTCATTAACTTTTATAAGACAGTTAATTTATCTTCACTTGTTGAAAAACACAACTTCACTACCTATCTTGTATAAATACCTACCTTTTAGGATTCTTGCTATGTGATCGGGACCTAAAAAGAGAATATCTATTTTTAGAAAAGTGACTATAAATTAACAAACAGTGCAATGTGCTGTTAAATAAATTCTTCTTGACTCCTAATTTTTTTTAGTTTAAAAACATCAAAGTGTGTATTTAGCACACACTTCCCCCCCCCCTCAAATGTACCACCAATTATAGACTTCCCCATCTTGCTATATGAGATCCCTTAACTGGATACCTGGCTCTTAAATAAAAAATAATAATATGTTCCTGGAAACTAACACAATAGTATATCACACTCCTTACTGCTTCAGAAACCATTTGCTAGCCTAGAAAAATTATGTTATTTATACTTCTGTCACTTGTTTTTCCCTTCTGGGAAAAGAATAAAATTTCTATGATTTGAAATGCATATATTTGGGGGCTACAAACTCATACTATAATCCCTATAATACCCAGCTCAACTTTACATATCTTCACATGACCCAGCATACTGTTAACACACAATGAGTAATCAATCACATGTGTGTGTGTGTGTGCGTTTTGTGGTATTAAGGATTGAACCCTTGGCCTCACACATGCTAGGAAGGCACTCAACCAATTTGCAACACCCGCAACTTAGTCACTTTTTTTATTTTTGAGACATGGTTTCAGTAAGTTGCCCAGGCTGGCATCAAACTTGCAATCCTTCTGCCTTAGCCTCCCAAAAGTTACTGGAATTACATGTGTGTACCACTGTCCAGCAGACATGAGTTTTAATTCTGGCTCTACCACTCATCATCTGTGAGTGGGTCACATATATCCTCCCTTAGCTTATTAGTCTGACAGTGACAAAGAAGGATACAAAAAAAAAAAAAATTTCATTGGGGTATGTGTATATGAGGATTAGGTAAACTAATTAAGGTGAATTTCTGCAAGCCTCCCTTTTAATTTTTTGCAGTGCTGAGAATCAGACCCAGGACCCTGGGCATTGCTACACAGGCACTCTACCTCTGAGCCACAGCCCTGGCCCTAGTATAGTGAATTTCTTAGTACAATGCCTGGCATCCAGTAAGTGACAAGGATTGTTTTTCAGTTGTCCTTTTTAGCACCAAAGTCAGAATCCCTTCTCATATAATCTTTTTAAAAATATTTTTTTTAGTTGTAGTTGGAACAATACCTTTATTTTATTTATTTATTTTTTGTGGTGCTGAGATTGAATCCAGCACCCTGCATGTGGTAGGTGAGTGCTCTACCACTGAGCCACAACCCCAGCCCCTCCTATAACTTTTATACTAGCATTTAATTACACCACTTCTCTCAAGGTCACAGAGGAAAATTTTACACATTTCTGAAAGAGGTGTACTTTTTATTTGCACTGGGAATTGAACCCAGGGGTACCTTATCATTGAGCCACATCCCCAACCCTTTTTATTTTTTATTTTGAGACAGGGTCTTGCTAAGTTGCTTAGGGTCTCACTAAGTTGATGAGGCTAGCCTCAAACTTGCAATCTTCCTGAGTCACTGGGATCACAGGTGTCACCGCACCCAGCTAAAAGAGGAACACATTTAAAAATATATATATTTATTTTTTAGTTGGACACAATATCTTCATTTATTTTTATGTAGTGCTGAGGATCGAACCCAGGGCCTCACACGTCCTAGGCGAGTGCTCTACCACTGAGCCATAACCCCTGCCCCCTGAAAGAGGAATACATTTTATAATCAAAGTAGAAAAAAAAAGGTCAGCCAGCAAGCAAAGGAGTTGGTGATTTTCTTTCTCATTATCTACAAATGTGAAAGCATATTCTTGCAAAAAATGTTTGTTCTCATTTGATTATCATCTCAGTTGAATCTTAAATTCAGAATTCCAATGTTAAATAAAATGCTATTTATTCTATCCTAAATATTACAATACTTAGTAATATCCCCGTAAGAACTTAATGTACACCAAAGAACAAACAGATAAAAGTCTGAGGTAAAATTTATGGTAAATGAAAAAAATATATATTCATAGCTAGCTGTGTATGTGTATACAGAGAGAAATGGGAAAAACTGACAGCATTTCCCCTAAAGAAACAATATCCACACAGCTTTGTTCCATTTTGTTCTTAAAGTGCAAAAGGATTACCAGTTAAAAGTCAACACAAATAAAGTTTAAAATTTCTTTAATAGGCTCAAAGCTTAGAAGTAGTTAGCATGATCTACTCACATACTATAAAGGGTTTTAATGAAGTTAGGCACATCTACTAACTCTGAGAGGTGTTAAAATTTCAGAGATATCATACACATTATGATTAAGGAAACATCACCTATTAGAACCGTAAGTTAATCTCTTATAGCATGCCTGTTCATCATAAATCCATCTTAAAAAACTATGAACACAACTCACAAAGAACGTTGCCACAATGATGCTATACAGTTTTAGTTGCCAATGGGTAAAGTGACTCATATAATTCTATGCCAACCTAGTACAAATCTAGTGCAATATGAAAAACCAAAAAGCTAGAATACAGTTTTGTTATAAATCTTATAAGACCTAAAGACAAAAAGCATTTTCTATTCACTCTTCCACACATTCTATAAATTGCCTTTAGTTTAATGGCTAAGGCTTAATACAGATTGAACATCCCTAATCTGAAATTCACAACTTTTTCAGCACAGATATGATGCTCATCAAGTTTAAGATTTGGGAGCATTTCAGATCCAGAATTAGGGATGTTCAACTAGTAAGGTTTTTGCAGACACTTCAAAATCAAATAAAACCTCCCAAATCTGACACACCAAGCACTTTGGAGAAAGGATACTCAGCCTGTATGTCTGTATAAAAACTGCCTTTCATTTTTAAAAAGTAAAAGCAATTTTCCAATGCTCCAGAAGAGACTTAATGTCATCTAAAATCATGTATCAGTCAATTTCTTTTTAGAACCAGGAAACTTAACTTCAAATATTTGGACTATTTATCATGCCATACCTTCTCAGCTTCTCCCTTTCTTCCCTCTCCCTTTCTTCTCTTCGTTTCAGGCGCTCCTGGTTTCTTTTCTCCTGCTTCTCAGCTACAACTCTCTTAAAAACAATAAATAAGAAGTTTATTTACTAGGTCAATTATTAATTATCTTTACCTTAAACTTTACCATTTCTGGTTCCCAACATAGTATAATTAACTTCAAGATCTGTTGAGGAAAAAAAATTCAATTTGACCCTGTCAGATGTAACTATTAAGCTCACACCCTACTTTCTATAATCTTCCTCCCTTTTATGGAAAATGTGCAATATCGCAAACTTTTCCATGATTTCTTCATATTTTAAAATTACTTCAATAAGACTTTTCTGAATGTTTCCCAGCATTTTTATATACTTATAATGAACATCAACCATCACAAATATCCATTCCTTATCATTTCCAATGAGGCAATGGTACCATTTTAATGCTGCTGCCTTTAAAGATATGAGTAAAGTGATAAAGGATTCTGTTGCTAAGTCTGTTTCTGCAAAGAATCCCAAGTATGTAGTGTTATCAACAGAGCCCATCAACTCTCTGTTAAAATGAAACCCATTTTGACAGTTTTTAGAAACTGTGAGATTTATTCCAGCTACTCAAAAAAATGGAGAGAGGATAAATGCATACTGAAAATATGGTTATGTCCCTATTTTTTTTTTCCCTTTCTTTCTTTTTGGTACTGGGGATTGAACGCAGAGGTGCTTTACCACTGAGCTACATCCCCAGCCAATTTTATTTATTTTGAGACAGAATTTTGCTAAATTGCTGAGGGTCTAAGTTGTGAAGGTTGGCCTTGAACTTGCAATCTTCCTGCCTCAGCCTTTCCAGTCACTAGGTTTATAGATGTGCACTACCACACCTGATTTCACTGGGTGTTTTCTGACTCCTCATTATTGTAAAAGTTAAGCCATGAATCTTGGGATCAATTCCAGTGATACAATTACATGGAAAGTGACTCTCCAGTGTTGCCAATATTTGGGCCAGTCTTCAACTTGTGACAAAAGGCTACAATACCATATTCTTTAAAAATAAGCCACATCAGATAGCTGAAAGGCAAACTGATATCTAGTAACTCTGCCTTTTACCACTTCAAAATACCTCACTTTTTTTGTGTGTATGTATTTGCTTATTCCCTCAAAAGCACTAGGGAGATAAGAACTATGCTGCCTTTTTACAATAACACATATTAACTAATAGTGAGTGTCCTTCTTTCATAGGCTGTCCTAATTCCTTCCTGAAATGGAGGAAGGTAGACAAAACTAGAGGTTCTATTTTTTTAAAAAACATTTATTTTTTTTTTAAAGTTTTAGGTGGACACAATATCTTTATTTTGTTTTTATGTGGTGCTGAGAATCGAACCCAGTGCCTCACACATGCTAGGCGAGCGCTACCACTGGAGCCACATCCCCAGCCCAAAACTAGAGGTTCTATAGGCTTATATTTAGTAAAGAACTCCAAAATATTTCAACACATACTGGGCTCATTTTCTCAATTCTCCTATAAATATTATATGAATATATAATTATTGATTTTACTGAAAAGGATAACACCTTACATTTTAGGGTAAGGTGTTATTTTGTAGAAAAGGGTCAGTTTAGAAACCAGTTTAAATGACTAATTCAACACAAAATGATACCTCCCAGAATAACAGAATAATACTGAAAAGCCTTTTTCTCAGACATCATCCATTAAACCTGCCTGAATCTCCATTTATAATTCTACACTATTCAGTGTGAACTGTTGACATAAATCACAACTGAGAATACTATTCCAAAGACAACTAATAGCAGATCAAAAAATAAGTAGCAAAATAGGACAGTCAGTGATATTAATTTACCAAAGTACCTTTAATTCTTCAAGCTTCTCTCTTATTTCAATAAATCCCAGGTGCAGTTTACCCCCAAAATGATCGGCCAGTCGTCTGTCATTATCATGAAGACCTAAGTAGGCAGAGCAGACTTCACAGACCCGAAGTTTCTGCTGTTGGAAACTGGAAGCTGGCATAGAATTCCGATAAACTTCCTAAACAAAAGTGAGGGATAAAACAAAAACAAAAACATAAATTTCATTAAAAGACAAACAAAAGGCCATAGAACATTCTGGGGTCTCCAATGCCTTGCCAGATGTGTCTTCACCAACAGCTGTCACCCACCCTCTCCTCACACCTCAGGGAGGGGCCTGAAGACCAAGAAAGAATTTTCACAGCAAAGCAACCAGCTGAAATTGAATCAGTCTACACTGGCTCCATGAGAGTAAGACTCTACCTACACTGCATAGGAGAGGGAAGCCTTGGAGAGCACAGCTGCTGGATAATTGCCCTTGCTCTGAATCCTCCCCCGCACTTTTTTTTTTTAATCTGCCTTTTAAAAAAAATCTTAGGAACATTAGTTTTATTACACAATGTATGAGAAACAGAAATTTATTAAGAACCATCTCTATTCTCCTAGAAGTATGAAGAAAGGACAGAGAACAGCAGGGCAGGAGAAAGTGTCCCAGGGAAAAGAGCCTCTGATGTCTCTTGCAGGTGGAGACAGGAGACTCCTGGTAGAATCGAGCTCCTGGCCGGAATCCGTGCAGAAAGCCTGAGCCAGACTGCATGCACACCACATGCACGTCACAGTGATGCCCACACACCAGGATCCACAGATCTCAGGGTCTTTTCACTGTCCACTGATTTGTCTGTCTCTGTATTTTCATTGGAGTCACTCTGCTTCTAAATCTAGCACGTTTCTGCCCTCTTTTTTCTCTGAATGCCAGCTCACAAAACCAAGGCATGCAACAACACAGTTGTTGAACGTAAGTGGCTACCCTCCTAGTAACCAACCCCCTTCTAGCCCTTGCTGTTGTTATGGACTGCCCTATAGAGATACCTTGGGAGGATGTGCTGTTGTCTGCTATGGCTCAACTACTGTGGATAGGAGGCTATGCTGGGAGTGGAGATCCTCACATGCAGGAAACAGACAGATAGAAGGCACACTGGCACATCCACCACCTGACTTCTTGCTTAGCCATCTCGGGTAGCTGATGCTCAAAGGGATAGAGGGAGGGTAGAAAGGGCAGGCTCACTGGCACTTTTAAGTGAATATTGAAAGGATATATAGGACCTGGCAAGGCCTAACTCCCCAACACATAGGCTTCACCTGGAATGTGTAAGCATGCCCATGGATTATCTAGTGCTGGGGTACCAGGTATGTAGCCACTCCTCATTGTATTTAGATTTGCCAGGGACACCCAGGTATTACAGGGCTCAAAACCCTCGTCAAGCATGATTGCCATAATTGTTGGGTCCAGGCTTAACAGAATAGCTGGGTAAATATTCCTCACCCTGGCTCTATCATGGGTGGCTCATTATTTGCTCTACTGTGGGCCTCTGTGTGGGGTCCACCATCAGTATTTGACTGATCAGCATTCCATGCTTCCTTGGAAATGTGCAGGGGATTGTCATATCTTGCCTGCATGAACTTCTTCACTTAGTGGTGTTTGCCATAAATCAGTGACACCCAGGCTTTAGACATCCACCGTGGGGCCCTCATATTCTTTCCACTGGATGACTTCAGGGGTAAGGTAGAGGAGAGTGCCCTCAAACTCATTCAGCTTCTGCCCAGCCATGAATCCAGTGCTCTGGCTGAAGTGGACAAGTTTGAAATTGCCTCCAGCAATCTCCAGGATGTTCTCTATCTTAAGGTGTAGGTGCACAATGTCGTCCTTGTGGCAGTAGCTCAGGACACATATGACCTGCCTGCATAGTCTTCAGGTCTCTTCCTCCAACATACCACCAGACTCCAAGAGGCAGTGCCATAGCTGTCCCCCATGTGCATGCTCCGTGACAATGTAAGCTACCCTGCCCAATGCCCCTTAGGATCCGATTATGTCCATGAAGTTGGTCTTGTAGCACCTGGGCCCTTGCAGCACTACACTGTTCTGACTACTTTTCCTACCTATCACTGGAATACCAAATAAGGATGCCAGATTAAAAGCAAACAAACAAACAAAAAACCAAAATAAACCCAAGTTTAAAATATATATCAAAACACCACAACTATCAACCACACTATCTAGAAGTCCAACAGCTCACCACCACCAAAAGTTTTCTGTACTTAGAGATAAAAACAGCCAGTCTTTTATCCAGCCAGTATTTGAAATTCCCTCACAATGGCTCCTTATGAGGTGACAGCAGGAAACGGCCCAGTCACCCCAGTGCCCATCTCAGTTTTTGGCCTCTAGGATCTTTCTGACTTTCATGATAAGAATCTAAAAAAGGACCAGGCTGATATGGTGGCCCATGCCTGTAATCCCAGCAATCCCAGGAGGGTGAGGCAGGAGGGTCACAGAAGTTCAAAACCAGTCTCAGCAATTTAGTGAGGCCCTAAGCAACTCAGTGAGACCTTGTCTCCAAATAAAAAATAATAAAGGGCTGTGGACGTGGCTCAGTGGTTAAGCACCCTTGGGTTTAAACACTAGTATAACAAAACAAAATAATAAGAAATTGACTCAAGAAGCCTTTTGCTTCTGTGAGTTATGGAGACTGATATTTACTTGCTTAGAAATTAAAATTCGTAGAATTTAAAAAAAAAGTCAAACAAGAGGGCTAGGAATGTGGTTCAGTAATAGAATGTTTGTGTACATGAACAAATCTCTAAGACTGACCCCTTGAAAAAAAAAAAAAAAAAAAGGCATGCAAGAAAATATAAAAGCATGGCTATTTTGTTACGAAAAGTATACATTCTCCATTGTCCCCCTGTCCACTACATCCTTTCTTAGACTACTTCCCTAGAGGTCAAAAGTCACAGGTCACAGGTCCACATACCTTTTGCCAAGAAACTACCTTAATAGTTCTACCACGATACAAAATACAACAGTCTGAAAAGGGTTTCTCAATGTTCTTTTCTATAGTTTTTGTTAAAAATGTGATGTGGTCAGCCTCTAAACTGCATACCAGTGAAGGGTCAAGCAAACAGAAGCCACCTATAATTGTAAAGGAGTACATGTTTTCCACATTGTTAGACTTCCTTCCCAAAGATTATTTTCCCCTCCTCGGAAATATGGATATGCATACACATGATAAGTCTCCCCACTAAAAGGAATACAGTTCTACTAAGATAAGAGATAAAATGTGTCCCGAGATTAAATTATCTTTTACTCACACATTTTCATTTGTATGAATTAATTCATTAAACAGTAAAAAATGGTGAGTTTGCCTATATATTGTCCTCTTTTTTCTTTACTAACAGGACTCTGGCTTTTATTTGAGGTAGCAACACACCCAGCTAAAAATATGACATTTTCCAAGCTTCCACAGAACTTTGCCTAAAATACTAGTGGAAACTGCCAGGCAGAATCTATAGGAAAGTTCTTCAAAAGAGAATAAATAAATTGAGATAAAAACCCATCACTGGCTGATGTAACCCTGCAGATAAAAAGGAATGAGAAAGCGTATTTACAAAGGCTTAAAAGTGTCAATACCAAGATATTTACTAGTTACAAAAGAGAAACGCAGTAACTTCCCAGAAAAAAAAAATATGTACCATCACCAAAAATGGGGAAAACCACTAACAAATGTTTCAAAACGATACATCACTACAGTGGTATTCCTATAAAAATCTAATCATGAGAGGCTCAACATGTAGTTCAGTGGTAGAGCACTTGCTCAGTATGTGCAAAACCCTCTTTTCAATCCCCAGTACATGAAGGGAAAAAAAAGAAAGGAAGGAGAAAGGACAAAACAAGAAAAGCAAGAAAGGGAAGATAAGAGAAAAAAGAAATCTAACTACGAGAAAATGTTAAGACAAACTCTAACTAAAGGACATTTTACAAAATAACTGATGAATACTTATCCAAACTATGAAGACTGTATTCTTCAAAGACAGACTAGAACAGTTCCAGATTAAAGGAGACTAAAGAGGCCTAACTAAATGACACATATAATCTTGGACTGGATCTTGGAGACGAAAAATTTTCTTTCTTTAAGAATAAAGAATATGGGCTGGGGTTGTGGCTCAGCGGTAGAGCACTCGCCTCGCGTGTGCGAGACCCTGAGTTCGATCCTCAGCACCACATAAAAATAAATAAGTGAAATAAAGGTATTGTGTCCAACTACAACTAAAAAATAAATATTAAAAAAGAATAAAGAATATTATTGGGACAACTGATGATATGTGAACAAAGTCTTTAACAGCCTTGTATAAATACTAATTCTTGATTTTCATAATTGTGTTGTGTTTATATAATAAAACATCTTTGTTTTTAACACAAAGTATTTGGGTTAAAGAAGCATCTGTTTTCAGAGTCTCTTTATCATTAGGCAATATTTGCAGCCCTTTTTTAAAAAAATGATTTTATTATGAGACAGGGTCTCACCAAGTTGTCCAAACTAGTCTTGAACTTGTAATCCTCCTGCCTCAGCCTACAGAGAGCTGGGATTATAGGTGTTAGCCATTGGCCTGACAAGAGGCATCTTAACTGTAACAAATAGACATAGTTTAGCCACATACAGGGAAAAAATGATAAAGTAAATGTTACTTTAAATGGGGTAAAGGATAGAGGAGAAAGTCTTTGTACTATTTTTTACTTTTGTGAAAACAAATCAAAATAAAAATTTTTAAATTAAAACATACATGTACAGATACATGAAGGCATGTCAACTCCATTTTAATGCTTTGATCTTTTTACTTCCTTCACGTAAGGCTGTAGTTTAGACCAATACTGCCACAAATTGATAAACATCAAGATGAGTCCACACAGAAAGGATGGCTAAACATAGAACTAGAAATAGTCTGTATGTTGGATGGCATTATGGGGTCAAATTATGTTTCCCTAATCCTAAATATTAGCTGAGAAAATTTGTGGCTTTTAAGCCACAAATTAGTTTTTTTATTATATAGAGCTGAGCACAATCTATAATAGAAAAGTAAAATTTTTAAAGTGTTATTCTTAGTAAAAACCAACTGATAATAATATATGCATAAGAGGCTAACAATGTTAAGCTACTGTGTAATATTAGTAAACCTCTGACTACACATATATTAAGATTCACAGAACCAGGTGCAGTGGTGCACGCCTGTAACCCTAGTGGCTTGGGAGGCTGAGGCAGGAGGATTGTGAGTTCAAAGGCAACCTCAGCAACAGCGAGGTGCTTAGCAGCTCAGTGAGACCCTGTTTTTATTATTATTATTTTTATTTTTTGAGAGAGAGAGAGGAGAGAAGAGAATTTTTAATATTTATTTTTAGTTTTTCAGCAAACACAACATCTTTGTTTGTACGTGGTGCTGAGGATCGAACCCGGGCCGCACGCATGCCAGGCGAGCGCGATATAGCTTGAGCCACATCCCCAGCCCGAGACCCTGTTTTTAAATAAAATAAAAAATAGGGCTGGGGATGTGGCTCAGTGGCTGAGTGCCCCAGAGTTCAATCCTCAGTACCAAAGAGGGGAAAAAAAATTCATGAAACTGGCAATTATATTGAAGGAAAAGAAATAATGCTCACTAGCTTGATTATCTTAAGAGTCATCATGGAAATTAACTATAATTTAGCTATAGCCATAAAGTACTTTTCATTTAAAAATTACTGTTTATTTTCTGGATTGACAAAATTGCACTTACAGAAACCCTAAATATTTAGACACTGAAATTATCAAGAATGGCTATATGGTATATCTTTTTCTATCTTTCTATTATTATTGGCCATTTAAATTTAACATAATTGTTGGTATACTGGGTTTAAATTTACCATCTTGCAATTTATTTTCTACTTGTTCTTTACATTATTTATTCCTTTGCTCCTGCTTCTTTCTTTTAGAGTATTTTTTTAGAATTCCATTTTATTACTACTATTATCTATAGCTCTTTTTTCTACCTCTAATATTGTCTCTAGGGCTTATGGTATAAAACTAACAGAAACTTAATTTACAAGAAAGCCTAGGTAGTTATATAAATATTAGATAAAATAGAACTGAAAGCAAGGGACATTCCCAATAAGGGGGGATATTTGGAAATAATTAATGGGTCCATTCATCAAAAAGGCATAATCCTAAATGTATATTCACCTAATAAAAGAGCTTCAAAACAGATGATGAAAGCAACGAAAAAAACACAGATATACATCCACAATTACTATAGCTGAAATTTATCCACTCCCCTCTCAATAAACAGCAAAATAGAAAATCAATAGGAAAAGCTGGGCATATAGTGGCATGCACCTATAATCCCAGCTATGCGGGAGGATATCAAGTTTGAGGCCAGCCTGGGTTACTTGGTGAGATCTCTCCTCAGAATACAAAATAAGAAGGGCTGGGGATGTAGCCCTGTGGTGCTCTACCCAGTGCTTTCCCACTGGGCTAAATCCCAAGTTCCACCCCCCCCCCCAAAAAAAAAACCTTTCACAAATAAAACTCCAGTCCTAGATGGTTTGTGGTAAATTCTACCCCAAGAAATAATACCAATTCTAGAAAAAAAACATTTTCAGAAAGAGAAAACACTTTCCAACTCGTTTTATAAATTGATATTACCCTGATACCAAACCAAAGACAAAGTTTTTACATCAATAAGTGATTAAGAATTAAGACTGGTTAGAGGGGCCAGGGATGTGGCTCAGTATTAGAGGGCTTGCATAAGGCCCTAGGTTTGATCCCCAGCACAACACAAAACAAAACAAAAAAAGACTTAAGACTGATTGGAAAATAATATACTGGGCATAAGTCTTCCTTCAACTCTCTCCTTTCTGTGGAAAACATCTAACATGTATTAGTTTCTTCCCTTCCTTTAAGTAATATTTTTATTATAATCACATAATATCATAAGGAATATTGAACAATATTTTCTTGATGTTCAGGGTCATCATTGTAACGGTGGCATTATAGGAGTACTATGAGGAGCAATCACCATAGTTTTTCCTTTTCTCCTCCCTCCCTCAATTCTTGCCTTTCTCCTCTGCTGACCAGCAACATTAAGGGAGGTTAAGGAAAGATGCTAAAGGAGATATACTAAAATAAGAAAGCTGTGATAAGGACTTCTCAGGAGCCACCCTACAGTGTTAGAACTGAGATAATGATCCATCAGACCACAACTTGACCAAGACCGCTTAACAATGCATACTTCTTCCCCAATGCCCCTTTCTCCTTCTATTTAAACTTTCAGGTCATGTCAGCATCTGGAAAACATGCCTAAAAACATGTCTTCCCAGTGTGGCTACACTAATTAAAGTTACTTTCCTGCTTTTTGCAATTACCCTTTGGGTTTGATATTTGGGCTGAGTGGCCAGCCCTGGATTTTGTACCTGACCTGGGACTCCTATAATACTTTTAGTTCATATTTTGTGGGAAATCAAAAAATCACTGTGAAATTTAAAAAGAAAAAAAAGAAAGAAAGAAAACTTCCCAAGAGCTAGGGATATGGCTCAGTGGTAGTCTGCCTAGCATGTGTGAGGCCTGGGTTCCATCCCAGCACCACAAAAATTTTTTAAATTAATAAATAAAATGGCTTACCTATATTCTGCCTTTCCTCTCCAGTCTGAAGATCATCAATGATACCAGAAAAGAAGGAAAGAAGGAAAAAGAATAGGCACCCTAAAGCAGTTTGAGTGATAGGGCTTTCCTTTTCATTTTTGATCTGGTCACAAAAGACCCTGTCCTCTTTAACAATTAAACCTCACTGGTGAGAAGTTTAAGAAAAAAAAAAAGATTAGAGTTGGGGAAGATGCCTGGGGTTGAGGAAAAAAACACTGAAAGTAGGTAATCATAAGTCAGACAACCTATAGAAGCCATTCAGATTACTGTAAAGCAAACCAGATGTGATCATTTAGGAACAGTGGACACAGGCAAAAGAGTACAGTATAATCCCTACCAAAGACATTTGATTTCCTAAAATCTATCAGATGTTCCAATCAAAACAGAACTTTATAGGATATCAGATTTCGACCTGTGCTGAGAAAGAAGGAGGAGGTTGGGGATGCAGCTCAATACCAAGACACCTGCCTAGCACGTATGAAGCCCTGAGGTTCGATCCCAATCCCAAACACCACCAAGAAACCAAGAAAAAAGAATGAGAGAAGGCTCCAAGGCATTCGCAGATTAGACTAAGGTGGGAAGAGAATCAAGAATACTATAGCATGGGAGTGAATGAGGGATAGGTTGTCACAGTAACCAAGAATCTGTAGAGTATGCATGTGTCTGTGTCTATAACTGTTGAGTGTATGTGACTAGATAGTTTAATACACCTACAAGTTACAAATTTCAATAGATCCATGGCTCCAACTTCCCTAAAACCACTAATTTTGACATAAAACCCAACAGCATAGCACAGACCACTTAAATATTTTCAAATTGGCTTAAATTCCCTTTTAAAACTTTGTAAAAATTTCTAGTCAAATATACCATATGAACAGACACTAAGGTTATACTACTATTAAGAACTTACCTCTGCTTCTCTTTTCTTTGCCCGTGCTTTCTCTACTTCATCCATTACTTTCTGGGATTCTTCCACATTCCCTTCAGCTCCTAGTTGTTCCACCTTGGCTAATAATTTACCAATTTCTTCATTTAATTCATGAACACGTTCTGCCTAGAAACAAACAGAAAAGAAAATCATGAAAAAATAAAAGAATATTAAACTTCAAAGTATTTCAGAAATGCTCAGAAAACATTTGTTATCTAAGAAAATATGATCACATCCACTGGGACACTAGGATGTTCTGAGGCTGCCTGCCTACACCTCAGTGAAGGTCAAAGATACTAGCAAGCAATAGAACTGCTACTTTGTAGCCTGTGCTTAGGTATACTTAAGTGTAAAACACCTTTCCTCCCATGATCTGGACCTCTCTATGTTCCCAAATCATCTCTTGCTGTTTCCTCTCCTCATAATATAAACTACATTATCTTTAGTTTTCCAAACTTACCCTGTTTCTGCTTGTTTTTGCACAGATTGTTCCTCTTCCTGGTATGTCCCCCTTACCTGTCTAATGAATATCTATTCATTCAACAAGATCTGATTCCAAGAGTGTTTTCTGTGAAGCATTTCTGAAAAATCATCACATGCCAGCCCCACTGAAACATGTAAGCACAAATGACCATATTCTCCTTTGTGTCATTTTTCACAATTACTTTTATACATATCATATAACTTAAAGATAGCTGTCTGAATTTCCCATCTTTGTATCTCTAATGTCCAAGAAACATAAGTTCAAATATGAATTAAAGAAATGAACTAGTGGATGCTCTGTAAAGCTAGAGGTGAACATACTTTAAAAGTCCCATATCTGAATTGCTGATAAACCAATTACTGAATGTGAAATTGTAGCCAGTTAGATACACCTGAATCCATTTCCTCATCTGAGAGGAATAATACCTGTCCCATGAAGTTGTGAAAAATTTAAAAAAATGCTTTGTATGTATACTGCAAAGCAGTATTATTTTCGTAACACCTGCATGTCACCCTCCCTCCATGAGTCCATGTTTTCCATTGGTATTCATTTTTGACTTAGGTTTGATATATTCTTCCTCATCATCATCCTGGGAAACTAGTTCCCTCATACTGTTTTAATGGCACATGACAGTCTTTCCTTTGAATCAAAATAAGTATTCAGTCTCTATGTGGCCAATCATATTAGCAAATAAGGTTTTTATGTGATGTGAACATCCAGTCTCAACAAACTAGATGGTCAACAATCTTTACATCTCAAAGTTCCTTCAACCCAAGATGTTCCTTCTCTAGAAGACATTCCCAACTCTGTTATCACTATTTTTCCTCTTTATCAAAGTAGTACTTTCCTTTAAAAATCTGTCACTGTTTAACTGCATTAATGCCCAGAGCTTCACCCTCTCCAGTATCCCTGCCCTCTGCCATGTTAACTAAGTACCATTGTCTTCTGACTCAACTTGGCCATGCAATTGCTTCAGTTAAAGGAAGGACAGTTAATATGACCCAAGGAAGTCTTGAAAAACACTTCTATGACTAGGTGTAATGTTTCTGCACATCTTTCACCATTATGAAAACATGGCCAAGCTAGCCTTCTGAGTATGGCTCAGTAGTCTCCAGCTGACTATAAAACATGTGACAGGAAAAATAGTCAAGTTTAATCTACATAATTGACTACACACTAATGAACTAAATAAATACTGACTTGTCTAAGTCACTGAATTTTGAGGTGGTTTTGTTTTACAGCACTTTTGTAGTATACAATGCTGTATAACTAATTCACCTTGGGCTCTACATAGCATTTGTCAATCTCTTTTAACCATGAAATACTATATCCCTTATAATTCAGAATGACCTTTTAAAGACAGGGTCTCACTGAGTTGCTTAACACCTTGCAGTTGCTGGGGCTGGCTTTGAACTCACTATTCTCCTGTCTCAACTTCCAGAGCTGCTGGGATTACAAGTGCATGCAACCACTCCCGGCTCAGGATGGCCATCTTAATAGTTCCTTATCTTTAGAGAACTCTGCTTAAAAGGCCAGCTGAAAGTAAACCTTTTTTCACACAAGGGAATCTATTTCCCTTTGCACATACTATCCAAACACTATATATGAATCCTGTCATATGAACTTTACCTTAGGAACACTCTTGAACTGCATTTTGGTAAAAGGCAATGGATTATACAGAATGGTTCAAAATTTATGTTGTAAAATATTAAGTTATCAAATCATCCAAATGCAATATATAGGACCTTGTTTAGATTCTGATTATTACAAACTGACTCACAGGAAAAAAGAAACATATTTGGATATCAGATAGGATTAAAGGATTAATGTATGTGATATTGTGGTTGTTTTATAAAGAGACAAAATGATGTGACACCTAGAATTTACAACAATGAAACAATAACAGAAAACCGATCGCTTTGAAATTCAGTGATGGATTCACTGGGTATCATTATCCTTTCTCCCAACTTGTTGTGTGTTTTTAAAGTAATGAGTCAATACTGTCATGTATAACTAAAAAGAACAATGAAAAAAAGTAACAAGTTAGGCAAAACATGAAGAACAATCAAAACGCAACATTAAAAAAACTAGCAATTGGGCTGGGGTTGTTGCTCAATGGAAGAGCACATGTAAGACACTGGGGTTGATTCTCAACACCACATATAAATAGATAAAATAAAAAATAAAGGTCCATCGACAACTAAGGGGAAAAAAAAAACCTAGCAATCCTATGAGAAAATGGGCAAAAGAATAAAACAACACATTTACTGAATGAAGAGTGCATGCAGATGGCAAGCATACACCTGAAAAAAAAAAAAAAAACCTCATCATTAGTCATTAGGTAAATACAAATTGAAACCACAAAAAACCACTACATTACTCTCATAACAGATAAAATGAAATATGATGACATCATCAAATGCTGGAATACATGTAAAGAAACTACAGCATTCACACTTGGTAGCAGAAAAGTAAAATTGTACACTCACTCTAAAACAAATTTGGCAGTTTTTTCAAAAACTAAACATGGGCCAGGCACTGTGGCGCATGCCGATAATCCCAGCAGCTCAGAAGGCTGAGGCAGGAGGATTTTGAGTTCAAAGCCAGCCTCAGCAAAAGTGAGGTGCTAAGCAACTCAGTGAGATACTTACTATCTCTAAATAAAATACAAAAATAGGACTGAGAGGTCAAGTACCCCTGAGTTTAATTCCCCCCTGCGAACAAAACAAAAAACTAAACATGGATTTACATTATGACCCAGTAATTGCATTCTTAGTTAATTTATTCCAAGTAAATGAAAACTTGTTTCTACACAAATATCTATATGCAGATGGGTACTTCAGATCTGCTGGTATTAGCCAGTAAGTGAAAACAACCTTAACGTTCCTCAATGTGTGAATGATTCAACTGTAGTATAACCATACCGTGGAATTCTTCTACTCAAAAATAAAAAGAAATGAACTACTGATGTACAAAATGTGGATGAACTGTAAGGAAATTGTGGTTAGTGAAAAAACCAATCTCAAAAAAAAGATACCTAGTGCACAATTTCATTCATTTAATATTCATGAAATAACTAATTATAGAGATGAAGAATAGTTTAGCGATTGCTAAATGTTATGGATTGGAATGATATGGGTGTGTTATACAGAGAATTATAAAGAAATGTTTGGGTATTTTGGGGGGTAGGCAGGTAATGGGGAAACAAACCCAGAGGCACTTAACCACTGAAACACATACCTAGCCCTTTTTTATGTTTTATTTTGAGACAAAGTCTCACTAAGTTGCTTAGGGCCTAGCTAAGTTGTTGAGACTGGCTTTGAACTTATGATCCTCCTGCCTTGGCCTCAAGAGTTGCTAGGATGGGGCTGGGGATGTGGCTCAAGCGATAGCGCACTTGCCTGGCATGCGTGCGGCCCGGGTTCGATCCTCAGCACCACATACAAACAAAGATGTTTTTCACCGAAAACTAAAAAATAAATATTAAAAAATTCTCTCTCACTCTTTAAAAAAAAAAAGAGTTGCTAGGATTACATGGAGCACCACGGTGCCCAATTATAAGGAAGTCTTATAGTGATGTTAATATAGTTAAGTATCTTAGTTGTGATAATGGATGCACAAGTTTATATATGATAAAACTGCAGAGCTACATATACACACATGCATACACGAAAACATGTGAAAGTGGTTAAATATGATTGAAATGTAAGAATTGAACCAAGGTCCATTTCTTTGATATACTATAATTGTGTAAGATTTTAAGACTGGGGAAGGCAAGAGAAAAAATACATTGAATTCCTTGTGTATGTCTTTGCAATCTCGACAAATTTAATTATTTTAAAATACAAAGGTAAAACAAATGAGTAGTGGGTTGAAACTACACTTTGTACTAATGAAAGGACTGAAATCTTACCTTTGCTGCCACTTCAGCACTAATCTCTTCTTGAGTTTCTGCTAATCTTTTTTTAGCCACTTCTGTTCTTCTATCGCAATCTGCAATGAATGACTGCAGGTGATCCATGGCCTAAAATGTTTAATTAAAAAATAATTACTGCCAGAAAGTTAATTTTATTCAGAAATACCTTTATTTAAAAACTATACTTTGTTTTTAAAATGTTAATAAGTAGAAACAATGGAAATCTTAAAAAATAATAAAAGCAGTTTCAATTGTAAATCCCAAATATTATTTGTCTTCCACCAAACTGGCAAAGAGTAAACATAAATAATTCCAGAAAGATGGGGCTGGGGTTATAGTTCAGTATCACAGCACTTGCATTGCTTGTGTGAGGCACTGGGTTCGATCCTCAGCACCACACAAAAAAATAAATAAATAAAATAAAGGTATTGAGTCCATCTACAATTAGAAATATTTAAATAATAATAATTATTTATTATTACAGGAAAGATAATGCTATTTAAAAAAACCCTCCACTTTCATACTCTATTGAAGAAAGCACAAACCAATGCAGCCTTTATAAAAAGGCACTGTGATTTTTCTTACTGAAAACCCTTTAAGGGGCTGGGGCTTTGGCTCAATGGAAGCACACTTGCCCAGCATGTGTAAGGAACTGGGTTCGATTCTCAGCACCAGAATTGAACAAGAAGTTGTGGTTAGGGCTGGGGATGTGGCCAAGCGGTAGCGCGCTCGCCTGGCATGCGTGCGGCCCGGGTTCAATCCTCAGCACCACATACAAACAAAGATGTTTTTCACCGAAAACTAAAAAATAAATATTAAAATTCTCTCTCCCTCTTTAAAAAAAAAAAAAAAGCTGTGGTAAGTAAAACTATATATATATATATATATATATATATATATAGAAAGAAAACCCTTTAAGGGTCCAGGGGAAAGATGAAGCGAAGAAAGGGGGAAATACTGGGGACTGACATTGGCCAAATTATATGGTCATATTCTGTGCATGTGCAAATATGGTAACAAAGAATCCCATTGGAATGCACAGCTATAATGCACCAATAAAAAAAAATAGGGGAAAAAAAACTTTAAAATATCCCCTTAGTAGTTTTACTTCCAAAATTTTATTCTAAGAAATTAACAAAAATATGTAGAGATAAATATTCAAACACATTCTTTACATTGTTAGAGCATTAAAAAGCTATAAATATTCTAAATTTGGTCTTCCTTCATTAAAAAAGTTTTTATAGGATACTTAAAGACATAGAACACTTCAAGATTCACTTACAAATAAAAGGCAAGTTACCAATATAATATGCAATAAGATCCCACATTTATGAAACAAAGCAGCATAGAAAAAAATTGAAAGATAACCATATACAAAAAGAGGTTTAACATTGTTAAAATGTTAACAATAATAATTTCTTAATATTTCATGATTTTTGCTCGTTTTCTGGTTTTTTTTTTTTAAATTCCCACAATGAAAATGTTACAATCAGGAAAAAAAAAAAAACTTTTCAAAAAATGAACCATTGGAAAATTTTAACAATGTCATTCTGCACATACTGGAATCCCCAAAATAGTCTGATAACCCAAGAATTTCTTCAAAGTGAACAGGGACAAAAATGAAATTCTTCTTCAAAGAAATAAGGATGATTTCAAAAGTTTCTTCTAACTGGGATGATACAGAGATAGCTATTTAATTCTTTTAATGTCAACTTTATCTTTTAAATGGTAATGGAAATCTATGTGAATTTTCTTATGACAAGATAAGAGTAATTCAGGTACTGTGACACACGCCTGTAATCCCAGTGGGTCAGAAGGCTTAGGCCGGAGCATCCCAAGTTCAAAGCCAGCCTCAGCAAAAAAGGTGCTGAACAACTCAGTGAGACTCTGTCTCTAAAAGAGCTAGGGATGTAACTCAGTGGTTGAGTGCTCCTGAATTCAATCCCTGGTACCCAGTGCCCCAATTAAAAAAAAAAAAAAAAAAAAAGAGGGTAGATCCTAAAGCAGTAAGAGAAAAGAAAGACCAACCAACAAATAAGTGTTGGGTCAATTAAACAGTTACTAGGAGCTAAACATACTAAGTAGAATAAATTCTAAAAGAGCAAATAAATTCGAGATGGAGCAAGGATTTAAATGTATAAAATGAAGTAAAAGAGTACTAGGGAAAAAGGGCTCTTTTCACCTCAGCATAGGGAAGGCCTTTCAAATTAATCTAATAGATTTTTTTGAAAACTGATAAATTAGACAACTAAAAAATATGCAGAACCAAAAACCACCAAAGAAATGTAAAACAGGAAAAAATACTTGGAATATGTATGTGAGAAAAAATTTTCATAAAATGCAAACAGAACAAATCAATGAGAAATGGCCAACATTCAAGATTAGCTAAAAAAAAAAAAAAAAGTTGTATACTGTTAGTTCACTAATAAAGGAAATACAAAGCAGGGCTTAGTCCCAGCAACTAGGTAGGCTAAAAGCAGAGGATTCACAAGTTAGAGGTCAGCCTCTACAATTTAGCAAGATCCTGTCTCAAAATAAAAAATGGCCTGGGGATGTAGGTCAGAGGTAAAGTACACTGGGTTCAAGCCCCAGTAAGAAAAAGGAACCATAAAATGAGCTCATCAATATGCTTTATTTAATGCTAAGTGATATGTCTCACAAAAATGCAAAAAAAAATTTTAGTTTCCCTATTTTTAGACAAGTAATTCTCATATAAAAGTAACATTACAGGCTAGGAAGATAGCTCAGTGTAGAGCAAGTGCCTAGCATATAGTGACTCCCTGAGTTGGAGCCCTTGCTCTGCATATTAAATACATAAATAAATAGATAAATCGAGAAACAATATGCAAGTTACATCTGGAACCCATTCGCATACCTATTTCTTCTATTAGTTTTACACTAAAATACTGTCTTTATATATGTATATATACATATGTATAAAAAGCAAAATGGATATGATATAAAAATAATTAGCTGAGTTTATCTTATTAAAGATAATGATTCATATTCAAGATATTTTGCTGCAAAAGACAATATAATCCATTAAAGCAAAATCACATACATCAAGTTCAAAGAAAAAGTCCTGTTCTTTGGATGCAATTTCATAATCTGCTCTTAAAGCCAGGTCATGGACTTTCAGACATTCTCCAAGATCCATTCTCTAGGGGAGAGGAAAAAAAAAGAGAATATTGAAATAGAAAACATTTTTTCACAAATTCACTTCATCACTACAATTCTCTTCTGAATATATATTAAGCCATACATATGCTTCGTTACTTATGGAATATTGAAATAGAAAACATTTTTTCACAAATTCACTTCATCACTACAATTCTCTTCTAAATATACATTAAGCCTTACGTATGCTTCGTTACTTATGGATCTTCAAATTACAACATTTCACAGACAAGTATAAAACTTGGTATTACAAAGAAACTGCAATGGGCTGGGGTTGTGGCTCAGGGGTAGAGCGTTCACCTAGCACATGTAAGGCCCTGGGTTCGATCCTCAGCACCACATAAATTTAAATAAATAAAATCAAGGCATTCTGTCCAACTAAAAATAAGAAAAGATTTTGGAAGGAAGGAAGGAAGGAAGGAACGAAGGAAGGAAGGAAGGAACGAACGAACGAACTACACCAATTCTGGCTACAAACGAAAGAGTGAACATTTTTAAACTTATGAACATATCTGTAAGAAAAAGCTTTTCAGAATCTTAAAGTTTCAAGCTCCTATATTATAGCATATTTCATTTATTCCCATAACAGGAGGATATTCAAAGTTAATTTAAAACAAAACTGAAAGATTATGTAAACCAAACTGCTGAATTAGGGTCAATTTTTTTTTTTTTTAATGTGGTGCTGAGGATCGAACCCAGTGCCTTACACGTGCTAGGCAAGTGCTTTACAACTGAGCCACAGTCCCAGCCTGGGGGGGTCACTGTTCTTTGAAGAGCATTCTGTTTGTCAAATAAAAATTCCTTAAAAAAAAAAAAAAAAAAAAAAAAGACTGACCCTGGGTTCAATCCTCAGTACCGCCCCCCGCCCCCAATACACACACAGAGACTGTTAACTTCTTATAGATGCTAGACAAAACTCCATGTAAACTCATGAAGACATAATTCACTAGTAAGACCCAGTGTAAGTGCACAAGTATCTATCAGGGAAATAAAATAGTCTTATTGACCTAGAATCCTCCTCTGTGTAAATTTCCAATTTTCATTATTTAAAACCAGAGGCTTTTCTCATACCGGAGACAAAATCAATAAAAATCTATCCATTTTTACATGTATGTGGACAGCTGATAAGAATTTGATAAAATCCTTTTGGGGAAAAAATGGGTAAAATGCAAAGATAAATACATCTGTGATTAATGGGTGATCAAAGCAAAGCAAGTACCAGGTGCAGTGGTGCACGTCTATAATCCCAGCCGCTTGGGAGGTTGAGACAGGAGGATCCCAAATTCAAAGACAGTCTTAGCAACTTAGCAAGACCCTGTGTCCAAATAAAAAAAAATTTTAAAAAGGACTGGAGATGTGACATAGTGGTTAAGCACTCCTAGGTTCAATCCCCAGTGTGTATACACACACACATAAAAGCAAGAGATTTTTTCCAATTGGAGGTATGTAACCCCCACCTCCAGAAATGTCTCAGTCTCTGGACTGTTAATTAAAAAAAACTTCAAAGGAGCCAGCTTGGTGGTGCACGCCTGTAATCCCAGCGGCTCAGGAGTCTGAAGCAGAAGGATCAAGAGTTCAAAGCCAGCCTCAGAAAAAGTGGGACCCTAAGCAACTCAGCGAGACCGTCTCTAAATAAAGATACAAAATAGGGCTGAGATGTGCCCCTGAGTTCAATCCCTGGTACCCATCCCACCAAAACCAAACAAACAAACAAAAAATTACACTGTGAATAGACACATAGGCTTTAAAACAGTAATATTCACACCTTTTGATAAGTTTTATAGAAATATAACATGTATAGAAAAGTATACAAATCACTGAGGCAAAAGGATCATAATTTCAAGGCTAGCCTCATTGACATAGTAAGATCCTGTCAGGAAGGACGGAAGGACGGAAGGACGGAAGGAAGGGAGGGCTGGGTAGAGTAACCCTGATCTCAATCCCTACTATTGCAAAAAATGAATAAATTATTGAAATATTCAAGATTTTATTATAAAATAGGCTCTGTGTTACATGATTTTTTTGCCCAACTCTAGGCAGATATTAAGTATTCTAAGCATGTTTAAAGTGGGCTTGGCTAAGCAGAAAAGTTCAGTGGTTTAGGTGTGCTAAGTGCATTTTTAACTTCTGATTACTTTTTTCTTCTGAGGGGGCGGTGGGGAGTGTGGGGGGTATGGGGGTTACGGGTGATTGAACTGGGGCACTCAACCACTGAGTCACATCCCCAAACCTGTTTTGAATTTTTTTTTTAAAGAGAGAGAGAGAGAGAAATTTTTTAATATTTATTTTTTAGTTATCGGCGGACACAACATCTTTGTTTGTATGTGGTGCTGAGGATCGAACCCCGGGCCGGACGCATGCCAGGTGAGCGCGCTACCACTTGAGCCACATCCCCACCCCCTGTTTTGAATTTTTATTTAGAGACAAGGTCTCACTGGGTTGCCTTTTTTTTTTAAGTTGTTGATGGACCTTTATATATACTTGTATTTATATGTGGTACTGAGAATCAAACCCAGTGCCTCATACATGCTAGGCAAGTGCTCTACCACTGAGCCACAACCCCAGCCCATGAATAATAAATTATTTTTAAGCAATACAAACACAATTTTTAAAAAAGAAACTTCGTAATAATTTTACCCCACTTTTTTTGCAAAAATAAATGGCACTAAATCTGTGATAATCTGTGATAATTAACACTCAGTTCTTAATTACATAAGAAGTAATAAAGATGGGGAAGCACGCCTGTAATCCCAACCGCTCAGGAGGCTGAGGCAGGAGGATCACAAGTTCAAAGCCAGCCTCAGCAAATTCAGTAAAGAGTGAAAGCAAATTGACTTAGAAAACCCAAAAGAATTTCAAATTTTACAAAATATTTAGAAGGCAAATAAATCTTTTTAATTATTCTTTTTGTACATGACAGTATAATGTATTTTGACATATTATATGTACATGGAGTATAACTTGCCATTCTTGTGGTTGAACATAATGTGGAGTTATACTGGTTGTGTATTCATATATAAACATAGGAAAGTATGTCTGATACATCTACTATCTTTCCCATTCCCAAGCTTCCTGGACCCTTCCCTTCATTCCAATTTGTGTGCCCCTTTATTGTGTGTTAGCATCCACATATCAGAGAAAACATTCATAGAAGGCAAATAAACCTTTTAACTCTTTTTAAAAGAAATATGGTAATATCAATCATTGGGGAAGTTTCTGGTAACAGGTATCTACAGCATACAGGCCTGAGCCTTAGCTTTACAAATGGAATCTAGAAATGACACTGCCTACTTAACATTTTTGCCAAAAATCTGGACATGTGTAAAACAGAGAACGTGATCAATTTTGTGCAATATTCCAACTAAAAAGGACAGTGAATTCACTGGATCAAAATTCAAAAGAATAGGCCAATTAAATTTAAATTAAATAAATTGAATTCATACATTTCTATGACTAAGAGAAAAATTTACAAGTAACTAGATATGAATAGAGTATTAGACAAAAATAACTAGTTAAAAAGTATGGCATGACTGAAATATACCAATGTGAACTAAAACTAATTTTGAAAGGATATAGTGTGAGTCAAATGAGGAATCTCTACTGAAGGCTTGTTTTAAAAGAAAACCCTGCCAGGCATGGTGGTGCACACCTGTAATCCCAGCAGCTCAGGAGCTGAGGCAGGAGAATGCAAAGTTCAAAGCCAGCCTCAGCAAAAATGAAGCGCTAAGCAACTCAGTGAAACCCTGTCTCTAAATAAAATACAAAATAGGGATGGGGATGTGGCTCAGTGATGGAGTGCCCCCAAGTTCAATTCCAGTACTCCCCCTCACCCCCACACCCCCACAAAAACCACACAAAACAGGGCTGGGAATGTGGCTCAGTGGTTGAGTACCCCCAAGTTCAATTCCAACCCACACACAAAGAAGCAAAACTCTTAACTTCCAAAAATTATTCTGTACACTAATGTACTTCAAAAGGGATATGAATAGATTGACCAAATGTCTCAAAACCAAGCCATGCAGAAAAGCCAGGTAAAAGAAGTAATTAGAGAAGAGAAAAATCAAAATGTGAAGCTAATCATCAATCAATGGAAGAATTTCTGATTAAGAGGCAAAAATTTGTTTTATTATGGTCCAAAGGGACTATAGAGACGTTTTTTTTAAACTCTTGGTGTTAAAGATGGAACAAGCCTGCAGTTTTGAAATCATTTATCTAGTATAATTGAGGAAAAACCTCAACCAGGTAGCATTTAATCTTTCCCCCAACTCTAGAATTTTACAACTACTTTTAAAAAACTGTTTTTTATGTAAAACCTTATTACACTCCTCAGTTCTTTTTTTTTCAATATTTTTTTAGTTGGAGATGAACACAATACCTTTATTTTATTTTTTATGTGGCGCTAAAGATCGAACCCAGTGCCTTCCACATGCAAGGCGGGCACTCTATTACTAAGCTACAACCCTAGCCTTACACTCAGTTCTTAATTACATAAGAAGTAATAAAGATGGGGAAGCACGCCTGTAATCCCAAACGCTCAGGAGGCTGAGGCAGGAGGATCACAAGTTCAAAGCCAGCCTCAGCAATGGCAAGACGCTAAGCAACTAGAGACCCTTTTTCTAAATAAAATACAAAATAGGGCTGGGGATGTGGCTCAGTGGTCAAGTGCCCTTGAGTTCAATCACTGGTACTTAAGGAGGGGGAACGGGGACAAGAAGTAATAAAGACTTCTCATGACAATTACAAAAGCCTTCATCATAAAATGCTATACTGAACATGCAGAAATTTTTTCAGGCCCCAATGTCTACAATTTAACATACTGAGGACTTTCCCAGTGACAATAAGCAGCAACTGAAGTGGCCAGTGGATATGTAGAAATTAAAATTAACAATATTACTAAGAAAAAGTTAAAAACTCTTAAAAAAAAAAAAAAAACTCCCAGGGGCTGTGGTGTAGCTCAGTGGTAGAGTGCCAGCCTAGCATGTG